GGTGATTACTGTACATCCCATCACATTTCAAGACCGAACAGCAACTAGTCTGGCATTTAGCCAAACTCCTGACAGCCTGAGCCTCACCAAGCTGACACGTGCATGGAGTTCCCACTCACAGTGAAGGCCTCACTGGCCATCGGGCGACCATCCTGGGACTCAGCACAGGGCCGTTTGGCTGCAGCCTGTGGCTGGCCTACACTGACTGCCCGCCGTAGAGCTGCTGGTGACTTTCTGTGACTGGTGGCCCCCAGGCAGAGGGCAGGAGAGCGTCGTACAGGCTGCGCTCGCTGGGGTCGGCGCTGCTGCCGCCACGCCAAGCCTCTGTCCCCTCTTCTCTGCGTAGCTCTGTCCCCTCCCAGAGCCTCTCAACTAACCTCTGTGTTTCTGATGGACACCTGTTGTCATCGCCTCCCTGGGCTCACCACGCCACGCCCTGCAGTGGCCACTGCCAGGAGAGGTCACCGCTTCAGTCCCTTGCACGTCCCCTTGCTGCCAACACCAAGGTTGGCCCCATGGCAGGTCAGTGGGGTGGTGGGTGGGGCTGGCCACAGCCTCCCCTCTGTAGGCACTTCTGGGTCCACTGTTGGCACTGAGCGAACCCCACCCCTCAGCCACCCTCTGAAGACGCAGAGACACACCCCCCCCCGGCACTGACCCCAGCACCCGCTGTGGGGACCAGGGATGCTCACTGCACGTGGGCTGGAGGGTGTCACGCAGCACGTGCAGTGGTTCCGTGTCACTGTCCCCTCTGTCCCCAGCCAGGGGCAGTGCTGACGACTCTGCTCTGTCCTCCAGGCAACCACTCGGGCGTGGTTCTGAGCATCGACTCCCGCGAGGTGCACAGTTACCTGGTCAGCTGACGCTCCGAGGAGCCCCCGGCACTCCTCTCTGTGGTCTCCTTTCCCCACGGGGCGGCCAGACCCCCACCCAGCCGGCAGCGGGGCAGGAGCAGCCTCCCTGGACCAGCAGGATAACCCCTCCGGCAGCTGCACCCCAAGACGGCAGGCACTGCTGTCTGGTTGGAAGCGCCCGGGCTGCAGGAAGGGCTCGGGGCTGCCAGGCCTAGACACCCTACACTCTAAGACCTGGACACCCAGAGCCCTGGACAGCTGAGCACCCCAGACACTTGGGCACCCAGAGCCCCAGACACCCCAGACACCCCAGACAGCTGGGCTCCCTGCATACCCAGAGCCCCGGACACTCAGGACACTGTACACCCAGAGCCCGGCCACCCCAGACAGCTGGGCTCCCTGGACAACCCAACACCTGGGTACTTCTGAGTCCCCAAGCAACGGGACACCCTGCACGACACCGGACTCTGAGCCCTGTCTCTGCCTCTTGGCCCCCTTCAGCCCCCACCATCACCTGCCCACAGCCTTGACCCCACACGGCTGAGGCTGGGTCCGTCCTGGGGCCTGGGGTGGGTGTGCCCTGACCCCACTCTGCTACGCCAGGCTGCAGGGGGACACGGGTCCTTCCAGATTCATGCTCGTCTTAGCCCCCGCTCCCCGAGAAGGCAGTGCTGCCCCTCTGTGGGGGGGGGGGGTCCAGGCAGAGAGTCCTCGCCCCAGACCCTCTCAGCACCACTGCCTCTCCTCTTAACCCGCAGTCATGCAGGTGTCTGTAGGCACCTGGTGGGTTTTGACCTGCCATTTGTAAGGCCCGGCAGCAGCCCTTTGGGGGGCCTTGTCAGCCCTTCTCAGGGAGCCCCTTTCTGGAACGCCTAGGCCTGCCTTCTCCATGGCCACTCCTGGTACCGTCCCTCCTGGGGTCTCCCCTGGAGGGCAACCATGCCTGCACCTCACACTGCGGCCAGCAGGTGGCGCTCTCCCGCCCGGAGGGTCTCACTGGGGAAGCTCAGAGAGGCACCTGTGTCCTTATGACCCTGAGACCACGTGCAGTCAAGCAGGACAGCCGTCAGAGACCACGCCCCTCATGGGGAAGGTGGGCAGACAGGCCCAGGGAGGGGTGACAGGCACCGAGGTGGCACGAGGCTCGCCCACCACTCCCCAGAATCAGGGACGGTAGGTGACGTGGGGCCAGAGGCATGCATGCTGTCGGCTGCAGCCCAGTCCACCCCGACTCACAGTGACCCCACGGTGTGTGTGGACGCACGTGCGTGGACAGATGTGTGCACACTGTAGAGGGGTCTCACCTTCACCTCGAGACAGGAAGTCGTCCGTGCCTCCTCCCCTCCTCTTCTCCTCCCCTCCTCTTCTCCTCCCCGGCCTCTGGCCTCTCCCTCCGAGGCAGGGGTCACCCAGCCCGTTGGCACTGGATGGTGGTACGTCCGGGAGGAAGGCTTGGGTGTTGTCTTGGCACCGAGCTGGGGCTTTGGGACACGGATCATCCCTCTAGGAAGGGCTCGGCCGCGGGAAGACGTGAGGGCAGGTGGGGCAGCTCCGACTGCACCATGACGGAGCCGCCACTCAGTGCCCTCCTCGACGCCAGTCCCCAACCCTCTCTTCCCACCATGCCCCCGTGGGGGGCTCCTGGACCACCGTCCGAGGCCACCCTGCAAGCTGCCCTCCGTCCCAGGGGAGGGGCTGGGGCGGGGCTCGGGGTCGAGAGCTGGCCAGGCCGCGCCAGGAGGAGGCTGGGGTTCTCCAGGCCTCGCCTGCAGACCCGCCCACTCGCTGTATCCTGCACACACCCCCAGCCACACACCCGCCTGTGGGCTGCAGCAGCACGGCCAGGCGGCACAGCACCTTCTAGAAACAGCCCCCCAGCTCCCAGTGCCCGTGGGTGGGCAGCCAGTCCAGCCGTCGGCCCTCGACCTCTTGGTCCTTCCTGCTGGGTGCGTCGCTTTCCCCCAGCTTGTGTCCTTCTGGAACTTTATTATTATTACTATTAAGAGCAGTTTGGGGGTGGACCCGAGACCCTGACATAACCTCCGACGTGTCCCTGCCTGTCGGGTCCGCACGTAGGTCTGTGGGTGTAGCTGGCATTGATAGGAGTTTCTCTGTATGACGTACAGGTCTGCATAGGCCCCTGGGGACGGACACCGTCTGCTGGGGACAGCTGCGTCCTGTTGGCCGGATAGTGCGCACACCTGCTATCTGCACATAGCAAAGATATGTTCCTTTCTAAAACAATAAATCATTCGTGACGCTTTTAACACACTGCGTGGTCTGGCCGGCTTCTTCCTTACCACAGAGAGACTTGCCAACAGCCCCTGGAAGGGCACAGGCGCACGGCCCGTGTGCCGGGATCAGGGTCCCGCAGGCCACACCACTGAGGGCAGGTGGGACGTGACATTCAGCTTTGTGGTCACCGAGTCGGGAACATGCCACCGTGCGCCCCAGCTCAGAACTGCCACTCCCCCGACTCTGCCCTGAGCGGGACGCACGGCTCTCCGCGCCTGATGAGTCGGCTTCAAGAACTGCGCCGTCCTCACTGGCAGCTGAGGGTCGACGCCTCACCGCAATCTCGGCCGCGGTGTCCGTGGGGTGGTCTGCTCTCTCACTCCTTCTCCGTGAGGGTGGACGGAGAACATGGGCACAGACGCGCCTGGGAAGGCTGACATGTTCCCGTGGCCCCAGCTCCGGCCCAGGGCCAGGCGAGGCTGGAGCTGTGGGGCTGGCTTCCGAGGACAGGTAACGGAGCCAGAGGTCGCACGGGGTCAGGGAGCCGGGCATCACACTTGGTGTGGGGTGCCGGGGGTCACACGGGGATGGGGGCAGGTGTCACCCCCGGGCAGAGGGGTGGGGCAGGGATCACACGAGGGGTGCCGGGGGTCACACCAGGGCAGAGTGGGGAGGCGGGCATCACACAGGGACAGGGAGCCAGGTGTCACACGGGGTCAGGTGAGCTGGACATCACACTGGGGTGGGTGGTCTCCTCAGATGGTTAGTCACGCAGGCTCCAGGCCCAGCAACGGCTCTGGAGCCCAGCCAGGATGTCCCCTCAGCACTGGGACACCAGCAGTTTACGACGATGACCTAATGTGTCTGCCAACGAGCCGGCAGGACCCTGGCCAGGCAGCACGGTATGACAGCACTGTGACGGGGGCTCTCCATGCCGAGTACAAGTGGCCCGTCGCTGCTCTCCTGCACACCAGCTGGGCAGCAGCTTGGAAAGTCAGTGCTGTGACCCCATTTCACAGCCGAGGAAGTGAGTGTGTGGGTGCTAGGGGCCAGGACTGCAGTGAGTGTGGCTGAGACACCAGCTTCCCACGCCCGCAGCCTCTGCTGCCGGGTGAGCATGGTGTGCGTGCTGCTGGAGAGCTGGGCCTGAGCTCGGAGGAACAGAACCAGTGGTACACACACACACACACACACACACACACACGTACTCAAACTCCAGCCAAACCACACCCACTGCCTGGAGTCCATTCCGACCCACAGCGCCCCTAGAGGACAGAGTGGAACTGCCCACAGGGTCTCCAAGGCTGTCAATCATCACAGAAGCAGACCACCTCATCTTTGTCCCACAGAACAGCTGGGTTCAAACTACTGACCTTATGGTTGGCAGCCAAGCACTTCAGCACTGCGCCACAAGGACTGCTTCACACACACACACACACACACACATACACACAGATTAATTTCAGGAGCCGGCTCACCTGGTTGCAGTGGCTGACAAGTTCAGAATCTGTAGGTCAGGTGGCAGGTTGGGGATCCCGGAGTCTCGTGTCCCTAAATCCCTAGATGTGGTGACAGGAAGAGGCCAGAGAGAGGCAGTGCCGCTAAGAAGGCCGTTTGCCATCTGGAGGCAGAATCCTCCCTCGGGAAACACCCGTTGATCTTCGGGCCTTCGGCCGATTGGACCAGGCCCACCCACACTTGATCTGCTTGACGTGGGGCCGACTGATTGGACCAGGCCCACCCACACTTGATCTGCTTGACGTGGGGCCGACTGATTCGACCAGGCCCACCCACACTTGATCTGCTTGACGTGGGGCCGACTGATTCGACCAGGCCCACCCACACTTGATCTGCTTGACTTGGGGCCGACTGATTCCAACCCCTTCGTGATCATCACCTGCTCTGTGACAGCATCGACCAGTGTCTGACCCAGCAGCCAGGCACCACTGTAAGCCAGGTGGACGCGTGGAACCCACCACTGCAGTCACGGAGGGCCGTGGGCAAGGCTGGAAGTGAGCAGGGAATGCAGGGAGGGACCAGGTCCCGGGCAGGTGAGGCGGGAGCTCCTGAGGGTGTGGGCAGGGCCCTGGCCTGGCTGACTCTAGAAGCTGCTGAGTGGGCTCGGAGACCGGCAGCGGGCTGCAGGTGAGGAGGCCACAGGCTCAGGGACGGCGGCCAGGGTACCATGGTCTCTGTGAGACTGAGGACGGCCTGCAAGTCTCACTTACTTCCTCAGTTGATCCACTTCCTGCTTTCTCCATGCCCCCTTCCCGCCTCTCTTCCCACTGACGGCTGGCTTCTCGCCTCTGAGGAGAGCCACGCCCACTGGGTTCCTCGAAGTCCCTCCCAGTACCTCCGTGCCTCCCGCTGTCTGGGATGGACAAGCCCTGCTCGGACGTCAGCCCACCCTCTGCTGGTGTGGGGGGCTCCTGCACCCACCTCGTCCTCCTCTGGCACCATCCCTCCCTCCTCAGCTCGCTGCTCCCTCCCAGGGCAGACGAGTGGATGCGCTCAGTGTGGCCACCGCACACCGTGGAATATTATGCAGCCGTGAAGAGCGACAGAGTCCACAGGCACACCTCCACACCGACGGCCTCCAAAGCATCATGCTGCGTGAAGGATGTCAGCCGTAGACACGACACAGACCCACATAGGAAAAAAGCAAACATGGAAACCAAAGATGGTCCGTGGTTTCCAGGGGTGGGAGGGAGGGGTGAAGGGGAGGTTTTGTTCGGCCGTCGAGGTTACGGTGGTGATGGTGGGACCACGGCAGGGGAAGGTCACTGAATTGCCAATGTGGAGGCCGTGTGGGCGGGTGTTTGACGTGCACATCATCACAGATGAAAACTACCCATCCTGCCAGCTTCTAGCAGACTCGGCAGAACCCTAACAGAACCCTGGAAAGGGCCCGTGGTGGCGCCTCTCCGGCTCCCTGGGTGGACGGGAGCAGCGGGTACGGTTTCCCGTCATTTATTTGTATTATTTGAAACAGAAGGACACACCCAGGTTTGCAGTATTCAAAATGATGATTCACGCAGCTCTCTAGAAAAAAACAACTTCACCCAGGGGTTAATCAAGAACACTCCAGTAACAGGTGCTACGGGCGGAACCGTGTCCCCAGGAGGTAGCTGGAGTCCGAGCCCCGTGGCTGCGAACGTGACCTGGTTTACAGTCGGCTCTGGGAGGTTGTCCTCGGTTGGCTGAGCACGGGGTCACGCTGGAGTGGGGGGCCCTGGTCCTCTCTGAGTGTCTTTAGATGAGACAGGACACAGACGGGAGCCAGGAAGGACACCCCAGGACACCGCTTCCGCAGCCCGGCCGTCAGAAGCCGAGAGCAGCGCGGACAGGCGCTCGGGGGCCTGCGGAGTTCTCTGTGCCTTGGCCCCTTCCGCCTCACCAGGCTTCCCTCCGCGCGGTGTCTGCTGAACTGCAGTTCGGCTGTGTCCAGTCGGCTGTGTCCTGTCTCCGAGTCCTTCACTCCTGTTACACTGCTCATCTCTGCCTCAGATCTGCGGGTTAGTTGTAGCTGCCAGCTGGACTATTCAAGCTTGGCTTTTATCTCCACAAGCTCGTGAGCACAGTTGTGTCAGCGACTGTCTGATGGCCGCAGTATCTGCTGTCCCTGCACGTCTGTCTGCTGTCCATTGCTTTTGCTAGAATGGCCCATGCTGTCTTTCCAATCTGTGCCCTTCATTGTCATGGAAACGGCTATTCCCCGGGGAGACATTCATTCCCATCTCAGCAGGTTCCAGGCGTCTCTGGGCCACCAGGTGACCCCCAGACCAGTCCCTTCTGCCCTGAGTGCCAGCTCAAAGCAGGGTAGGGGTGACTCGGGGGGCTTCCCACCATTGACAGAGCCTGAGTCCACCCCTGCTCCCCACCCCAGCACCTGTCTGAGGTGCAGATCTACTGCACGGCCTCCCCCCGGCCCTGGTCACCCGGGCTTTCCTCGCAGGCTGACCCCTGTCCTTGATGTTGACTCAGAACTGCTGAGAACCTGTGAGCCTGTCTGCCGTCTCTGGTGGCCGTGGTGTTGCTGTGAGTGGCTGTCGCATCAGCCCCGACACACAGTGACCTCCCGCACAACGGTGCAAAGTGCTGTGTGGTCCCAGGTCATCCCCACGATGGGCTGCAGGCCGCACCGCTGACCGGTAGGACTGCCACAGGCTGAACGTCCGAGGGAGGTCGCCTGTCTGTCTGCAAACCCCACTGACCTCGATCAGCACCGTGGCAGCGCCAAGCCTCCAGGACGCTGTTTTGCCCCGGATCCATTCTGCGGCGTCCCCTGGGGCCTGCCCTGTGGCTCCAGTCTGTCACACCCAGAAGCTGACAGAGCGCCTCTTCAGTCTTTCACACCTACAACCGCATGTGACTCCTGAACTCACTTGTTCACTCCTGTGCCCCTTTCTCGTCTGTTTCCGCACGGCCCGCGACACACCGCGGGTGACCAGTCAGTGCTTCCCAAATGAGTGACTGAGCGGACGGGCCATGCAAGCTGCCGTGTTTATCTGCTGAAGGTAACTGCGAAGAAGCGAGTATCCGCTCAGCTGAAGCCCTGGCAGCCGTGTTCGAACCCACGACCCAGGGCAGAAGCTGAGAGACCTCATCCGGAGAGACAAGGCAGGAGCCGGCCACACACCTGCATCCAGAGAGTGGTGCCAGACTGTCCCAGGGCCGCCGAAGGGAAGCCTGCCAAGGACACCAGCAACGTGGAGACAGCCCCTCACCACTCCTCTCAACGTGGCATCAAGCAGGTGGTACAGGTGAGGAGATTGAAGCTCGCAGGAGGTGAGGCAGCCGCCCCAAGTCTCGGGTTTGTCTGGTGACCCGGCAGGCACCCCCTCCCGCCAACAACGTGCTGAAGGGGCCCTGGTCTAGCGGGATGGGCCCGAAGCCCCTACTCCCTGATCTTCGGGACCTGCAGGCCGTGGCTGTCACTGACCTTGGAGGTCCGCAGCACCCCAGCCCGGCCACTACAGCCGTGAGGAGAAGGAGGTATTTGCCAGGGGACTTGGGTTAGGGTTAGGGTCCCAAAAGAACGTGGGGAATTTGGGGGCGATTGGCAGATGCCAGGGCAGCCACATTCTGGCAAAGCTGACGGTCACCTGGGCTGGCCCTTCCCAAGGTTCCTCTGTGTATGGAGGGGCAAACAGGCCCGCGGTCACCTCAGGAGATGAGGTCCTGAGAGGGCCCACACACCGTGATGAGAGGAGCAGGCTCCCTGGGGACTCAGGCTCAGTATGTGGGAGTGTCTGTCTCTGGGCGCAGACACATCTCACGCGTAGGGGCCTGTCAGTGACCGTCTCGGTCTCCCGGTGATGCCGTGACAGACACGCCACACGTGGGGGCTTTAAGGGCAGATATTTACTGTCTCCCAGGCCAGGAGGCTGGAAGTCTGAATTCAGGGCCCCTTCTCTGGGAGCTCTGGTAGCATAGTGCCTAAGGCATTTGACTGCTAACCTGAAGGCTGGCGGTTCAAACCCACCAGTCACTCTTTGGAAGGAAGGTTGGGCAATTTACTTCTGTAGTGATACCACCCCAGGAACCCAAGGAGGGGTCGCCATGAGTTGGATCGACTCGCAAGCAGTGAGTTTGGTTTTTGGTTTTTGGTTCTCTCTGGGGAAGCCTCTGTCTGTCTGTCTGTCGGTCTGTCTCTGGCTCTGGGGTCGGCCCTCATCTCTTGGTTTTCCTGGTTCCTGTCCCTGGTTCCTCGGTGGTCTCCAGGGAGCATCCGTCTCCCCCATTTGTGGTTCCGAACCTGCCCTTTCCCATGTCCAAGGTGATACCCTACGTCCCTCTAGCCTCATGAACTTGACCAGCAAAACCCTACTCCCAGATGGGGCTGGATTCGCAGTGCCAGGGTCGGGGTCCAAGGCGTGTTTCTGTTTCTCGAGTCTCTGCTGCAGAGGTCTGGCTGCCTTACCTGCTTGGTCCACCATCTTGGGTCAGAAACCGTCCGACACACATTTCTGGAGACAGCTCAGTCCGTGACAGGGAGTGTGTGCAGTCCGGCTCAGGGGCCCCGCCCTCTGGTCGTGGTGGTGCGGTTACTGGAACTTTCTCAAAGTCTGCGTCTTCTTGACAGCATGGGCGGAGTGCGGGTGGAGGAAGACAGAAAGGAAGGGGCGGGCAGCGGCCGGTGAGGAGCCCTGAAGGCTGGGCAGGGGCCGGACCATGTCTGCAGGACACAGGGTGCGAGTCTCCCGCAGGCTTGTAGTGGTGTCTGCGTGGAGGGTGGACCGGCCGGGCAGAGGGGCACAGGGCATGGGCTGGACGCTGTGGCCACGGCTCGAGAGATAGGACCCAGGTCTGAGACGTGGGGGGGCAGGGGTGGAGATGAGTCGGATGTGCTCTTAGCCTGGGGGTGGGGAGAGGGGCAGGCCTGAGTAGGGGAGTCGGTGGAAGGCCGCAGAGGATGGGGCAGCTGTGCGAGGTGGACCCTGAAGGTTGGCCCCAGGTATATGGGGCCTGGGGGTGCAGGGAGACAGACGCTGGGTTCTTCCTTGGACTGGGCGGGGGGGGGGGAGCAGGGGACACTGGGTTTGAGAAGGGGATACATCCAGGGTGGAGATGTGTGCTGCCTTCATTTGGACTTCCTGGGATGTGTCGTGGGCTGTATGATGTCCCCCAAAACTCTATGCTCAAGTCCTAGCTGGGGACCTGGGACCTGCCAACAGCGTCTTTGCAGGTGGTATCGGTTAACAAGAGGTCACACTGGAGCGGGGCGGGTCCTGACCCATAGTGTCTTCTCAAGAGAAGAGACAGTTGAGGGAGACAGGCTCCCCGGAATGCCTGGGGCCACCCAAAGCCAGAGAGCGTCAGGGAGGGACCCACACACTGACACCCTGTCTAAGACCCCAGCCCCCAGGGCTGAGAGATGATAAACTTCTCTTCTTATAAGCCTCCCATCGTCACATTTTGTTTCCGCAAGGAACAGGGCTCGGCGATGCAGGGCCAGGGTTTCATTGTAGGGTTACGGGGGGGGGGGGGCCGGGAAGACTGGGCTTGGCTCTCACGGTGGTGGGTGGGTCCCGGTGGCGGCGCCGCCCATTGCAGAGTGCGTGGTGGTCCTTCCACTGCCTGGCGCCCTGCTCTGTGCAGGTCACCCATGTCCTGCCTCCCGCCCTCCTCCCTGGGCTCCCACATTGCGCGGGGCCCAAGTGACGTGGCTCCTGCCAGGCGGCGCTCTCCAAGCGACCACTGCCTCCTGCCTCTGCTGCCCCCTCACTGGACTTGGGCCGCCATTGGGGCTGGGTTAGGGTTAGGGGTAGGGTTAGGCTGTCCTCCGAGGAGCTGTGGGCAGGCAGACCGGCCAGTACCCCCCACCCACGGCCTCATCAGCATATAGAGAGTGTTTGAAGGCGGAAGACTGGGGGGGGTGGGTGCCAACGGGGTGTGGCGGGGGGTGCTGGGGACCACCGGTCCCCCCAGGGAAGGGGGTGGGCTCACGGGAGGTGGGACACCGGTGCCGTCCCGAGTTGGCCCTTCCGGGCTTGCCACGGCATCACAGGGGCACCTGAGGAAAGAAGACCGCTCCCTCCCCCCTGGAGCCCTCCAACAACTCCCCCCAGAAAACCAACAGCTGCCACCGGGCCCGCAGCGCCTCCGTGTGGGTCAGGGCAGAACTGCGGTCCACAGGGTTTCAGCGGCTGATGTTTTTGGGTGTAGATTGCCAGGAATTTCTTGTGAGGCACCAACCTTGGGGTTAGCGGCCAAGCTCGTGAGCCCATCACGTTATCCAGGGACAATGGCTGCCCGCCCCCTGGAAAGCCATGCAGGATGGGTCCTTGCTACAGCAGCCTCTGTCACAGTCCTCGTGACATTTGGCCAGCCGCACACGCCCCAACCAGCCCCTCCGACCTGAAGAGCCCAGCCTGGTCAGGGGTCTTCCTGGCCTGTGCTGGTTTTCAGGGGGCTGTGTGCCTTCTGCAGAGGGCGGGCCTCAGTGGCCCCCGCCAGCATGGGGGCTGCTTCTCTCACCAGTGGCCAGCTTGGGCATGAAGGGCTGGGATGGGGCCTGATGGGTAAAATAGGGGTTCCGGGGTCACCCCTGGAAGTGCCTGCTCTCCCCATTGCTGCAGCCAGGCCAGGACACACATGCGGCCTAGCGGCTGCCAGCCACCCATGTGGGGCACCAGCCTGCTGGCCACGGTGACACGGTGCTGGCAGAGGGACAGAGAAAACCCGGGCCCTGAAGGGCGTCCTCCCTGTTGGCTGTCATCGAGCTGGCCCTGTCCCGTGGTGACACCGTGCACAACCGAACACACGGCCTGGGTCTGCCCCACACGATTGGTTGTGGGTCAGATCGGTTGTGGGAGCACTGTGGTCCACGGGGTCCTCGGTAGCTGGGTTTAGGCCTTCCTTCCTCTTGGTCTGGACCTGCCCCGCATCACGGCCACACGCAGCCTCCACGGTCAGGAATCGAACCCAGGTCCTCATGAGAGGGAAGTGTCCTACCCCCAAGCCACACAGCTGCTCAGTGAGGTCCTGGGCTGCTAGCTCTGGGCTCCTTGTTCTGTGAGGCAGTGAGCTGACTTTATCATCTGGGGTTCAAGTCTGACCTGGGTCTTCTCTTACTTGCAGCCAAAAGCGTCCCCAGTCACCTGTCCTAACCCCCGCCCCCTGCCCTAACCTCCTGCCCTAACCCCCCTCCTGCCCTAACTCCCACCCTCCTGTCCTAACCTCCCCCGACCTAACCCCCGCCCACCTGACCTAACCCCTCCCTCCTGTCCTAACCCCCCTCCTGTCCTAACCCCCCTCCTGTCCTAGCCCCTGCCCTTCTGTCTTAACCACCCCCTCCTGTCCTAACCCCCACCTGCTTGTCCTAACCCCCGCCCTCCTGACCTATCCTCTGCTCATAGGGTCATTATGAGTTGGAACTGATGTGATGGCACCTGAAACATCTCAGGGGATGCCTCACCTATAGTCCCTCACCAGTCCAAGTAAATCAAGAAGGGAGTGCGTCAGGGTTGTATCCTTTCTCCACATTTATTCAATCTATATGCTGAGCAAATAATCCGAGAAGCTGGACTATATGAAGAAAAAAGTGGTATCAGGATTGGAGGAAGAATCATTAACAACCTGAGATATGCAGACGATACAACTTTGCTTGCGGAAAGTGAGGATGACTTAAGGCACCTACTGATGAAGGTTGAAGAATACAGTCTGCAGTATGGATTATGTCTCAGTATAAAGAAAACAAAAATCCTTATAACTGGGCCAATGAGCAGCATCACAATGAATGGAGAGAAGATTGAGGTTGTCAAAGAATTCACGTTGCTTGGTTCTACAATTGATGCCAATGGAAGCAGCAGTCAGGACATTAGACGACGTGTAGCATTGGGAAAGCCAACTGCGAAGGAACTGTTTCAAGTGCTGAGGAGCAAGGATATCTCATTGAGGACTATGGTGCGCCTGACACAAGCCATGATATTTCCAATCGCCTCGTATGCATGTGAGAGCTGGACAATGAATAAGGAAGACCAAAAAAGAGTTGATGCTTTTGAGTTGTGGTGCTGGCGAAGAATGCTGAAAGTACCATGGACTGCTAAAAGAACTAACAGATCTGTCCTGGAGAAAGTGCACCCGAAATGCTCCTTGGAAGTGAGAATGGCCAGACTTCATCTCACCTACTTTGGTCATGTTGTCAGAAGGGACCATTCCCTGGAGAAGGATGTCATGCTTGGTAGGGTGGAGGGTTGACAAAAGAGGGGGAGGCCTTCAACGAGATGGATTGACATGGTGGCTGCGATGATGGGCTCAAGTATAGCAGGGATTGTGGGGCTGGCGCGGGATCAGGCAGTGTTTAATTCTGCTGTGCATGGGGTCGCTATGAGTTGGAGACGACGCTATGAGTTGGAGACGAGGAGTGAGGCCACTCCTTGGGCTGGTGATGATGTCACTGGGGCCTCCAAAATATGTTATATATTAAAGGCGAGATGGACTATACGGAGTCGCCAAGCACTCTGAGACCAAATCAAGCTTTGAGTCCTTTTATTCCAGGGTCGAGAGGGGCTCATGCCAGAAGGGACTCTCGACCCAGAAGAGCAGCTTCACAGGGTTTATAAAGACAAAACCCACGAGCGGCCGGGGTGCAATATGGAGTCTCTTTTCTATCCTTTGCAAGCAATCTTTTACAGAAGCAGAGAGCAGTGTTAAACCTAATCTAGCAAATAGCACCTGCAGAGAAACTCCTTGGCGTTGTGGCTGAGCCTCATTCGCTGTGAGGGCTTCAACTAGGACCCAGCCTTTGCAAGCAGACTTTCACAGAAGCTGAGAAAGCATTATACTTGCTCTAGCAAGTCACACCCATGAGCAACACCTGGCATCGTGGTCTGTCTCTGTGGTTGGCATAGAGGCTTGACTAGGTCTCCATGTTCTGCCAGAACGGATGGGGTGGTCTAGGCCTGCAGCCTTTCAGTTGAAACAGGATGGGGTGGTCTAGACCTGTAGCTTAAGGAAAAGAAACTTTATGGGGGTGTCAGCTATCTGGCTCATCACAGTGGGAGCAGCCCTTCCTAGTCTACCACCTCCCACAGCTGGTTACCAGTAGCCCAAACGTTTCTTCAACGGAATATTTGGGTCTGTGGCTAGAAGACACTTTGATTTTTTTTTTGTGAAAATGTGCAAAGCAAAGGAGACACTGTTGCCACCCATTGCAGCCTATGACCCAGCGACACTGTTTCTGTTGGTGGGATGTAACTGTGCTCCATGGCAAAAAAAAGAACCCACCACAACTCACAGACTCACAGCCACCCCCCTTCAGGTTTCAGAGGCAGTAAACCTTTATGGAAGCAGATTGCCCAGTCTTCTGAGGAGTGGCTGGTGGGTTTGAACCGCCAACCTTCTGGTCCGCAGTTAGATGCCTTAGGGACTGCATCCCAGAGTTCCTTGCCCCCAGGGTTCCACAGCCCTACAAATGCTCCAGCAGCGTTAAGGCAGCCACCCTCCACACAGCCCTCCTGCTGTGCTTGTTTTGAACCCAGCAGAGGAGGCTTTGACAGAGCACAGGGCTCGAGGGATGTTGCCTCCTACTCTGCTCACCTGCGTTTGGGCAGAGCTCTAGGTTGGGGTTGAAAGTTTAAAGATGGTCCCAGGACAAGGGTATCTGTGCCCACCAGCCTCCATGGCTCCAGAAGGACACACGCTTTGTGTGGGTGTCATCACGGAGCAGCATTCCTGCTGATGCCAACACGGCACCTCCTCC